ATATATATATAAGTTTTTACTGACTATGTAGTTCCAGGGGTGCTCTTGGTATTATGGCTTTATTTACTGCTTGTAAATCTTTAACCATTCACCATCTTGTTGATGGTGTTGATTTTTTCACAGGAAATGGGTGTGTATTGCATGGAGGAATATGATTATTCCTGCTTTTAACAAATGTTCAATTATTGATTAAATTGCTTCTTCTGTATCTAGTTTCAAGGGATATCAYGAGGTCTACAGGATGATTTTGGTGTAATCTTCACAAGCTCAATACCTTTTATGAGACCTACAGCTGCTTTTCATGCTGATCATATATTTCAGGTCCTTCCTTTAAACAGTCTCTCCTGGGTGAGGGTAAATATAGGTCAGGCTGTTTTTGCATCTGCTCTTGAACCTGAGAGGTGAACTGCTGTCTTTTGCAAACACAAGACATTTTACATAAAGGCTTGTTTCTAGTTAAAATATAGTTCTACAGTTCGCTACTCAGTTTTAATGTGCACATTGAGTTATTTATTGCCTGCAGTCTTCTCGTGTCATCTACAGACCAATTCAAAAGCTAACGTCAGGTTTTTCACATCTTGCTCAATAATACTCTTACTTTGGTTTTACAGGTATTTAATGTATTGTCTGAGCAGAATCCAGTGAGTTTGTCATCTGTTCTTTATGATCCCATCACTTTTCCATGCCCACACTGTGACCTGGCCTAAATTCAAGTAATTTTAGATGAAGGGCTTTCAAGCAAGAGTCCCAGACTCCCAATCCTGATGGTGTAAAGGATGTCAGGGTCCGTCTTGAAGGACCACATTTTTAGGGAAATTCTTAATAGACAGAGTCACTGAAATGAGTAAAAAGGATTTAATTCAATCTTGCAGCAAGGGGACAAGTCAAATACAACAACTCGGAGCTGTATTGCCCAGGGAGTCAGTCTCCCAYGGATCATTTTATGGACAATATTGCACAGTCATTGTGTGGTTGACTCATTTGTCAGCATTTGGTTGGTCTGCACTCTCATTTGTTCCCTCCAGGGTACAAGAGCTTCCAGTTTCCCTGAAGGCACAGCTCAAGCTTATCCTGTGGATATCCAGTTTTCTGCAGGATCAGTCAATCTCTTGCTTTATTTTCTGTGCATCACAGAATCTTGTGTGTGTGTGTGTGTGTGTGTGTGTGTGT